CTGGGTGTGGTAGCACATGTCTGTAGTACCAGCTATTCGGGAGGCTGAAGCAGGAGAATCACTTGAACCCAGAAGGCGGAGGTTGCAGTAAGCAGAGATCACACCACTACACTCCAGCCTGTCAAAAGAGTGAGGCTTGGTCTCAAAAAAAAAAAAAAAAAAAAAAGAGAAAACTAAAAAAAAAAGAATGCAGTTGTGACCTGTCTTCTACATCAGTCTTTCTGTGTGTATCTCTGAGCTTCTTTGATTTGCCACCCCCAAGCCTGCCCAGGGTAGCCTCCCTGGGGGTCTCCCCACATCCTGCCTTTTTGCCTTCCTATCTGCCTCCACTTCCCTCCCTTCCAGGTGGTTGGTTTTGGACACAGAGACCAGAGAAATCGTGTCTGATGTCATCGATGGCAATGAGCAGCTCTCAGTGGTCCGGTATAGCCCAGGTGGGAGCCACCCCCACCCTGGACTCACAGGGGTCCCTGGCCCTTCCCTTTCTGAGTGACTGTGTTTGCAGATGGGTTGTACCTGGCCATTGGTTCCCATGACAACGTGATCTACATCTATAGCGTTTCCAGTGATGGTGCCAAATCCAGCCGCTTTGGCCGCTGTATGGTGAGGAAGTTGGGGCGTATGGTGGGCATGATAACAGCTGGGAAACTCACAGAGTTCTGATGCATCATGGGGGCTCTGGGGATGGGAAATGGAAGGGACATTTTAAAACTCTTGACCTTTTCTCCCAGGGTCACTCCAGCTTCATCACTCATCTTGACTGGTCCAAGGATGGGAATTTCATCATGTCCAATTCTGGGGACTATGAGATTCTTTACTGTGAGTGGCAGTGAAGCAGGACGTGGGGAGAGGGTAATTGGAGTGGGTTTTATTTGTAGGGAGCTCTTGTAGGTATTGTCAGATAAGGAAGTGGAGATGGGGTTGATGTGGGGTTGGAATTGTACATAGAAATTTTGTGATTTTGAACCGACTAGTTTCACACCATGTCTTGTTGACTTAAGAGAGTTGAAAAATGCTCCAAGAAAAGTTTGGGAAAAGTTTCTCAGGGCAAGTGTGGAGGACTTATCTATGGAGGAAGAACTCACGGAAGCTGTTAGAACTCAGAGCTCAGTACTGAGGCACACAGGGTGGGTTGCACAGTGGGAGGGGGAGATGCTACTGCGGTGACCAGATCACCTGCCATCGCCGGGTCTCATGCCAGTCTTTCCAATCTGGGTTTCCCCGGCATCTTCCTGACTGAGGGCAGGGTGAGAGCTGGCTGGGCGGGCTCCTTCTCCCCAGGGGACGTGGCTGGAGGCTGCAAGCAGCTGAAGAATCGTTATGAGAGCCGAGACCGGGAGTGGGCTACGTACACCTGTGTGTTGGGCTTTCACGTCTACGGTGAGCAGGGGCGTGGAACCCTGCTGGAGGGGTGGGGGACAAGGTGGAGCCCAGTTTGGGCTCGGAACGCTGGGCGTTTGTCGTTGGGTGGGAGTCCAGAAACCTGAAGATCCAGCCCAGGAGGCCCCCCCCGGCCCTCGGGACCGGGAAGGCTTGCCTGGAACGCTGCAGTGGGTGGCCGTGGCTGCCGGAGCGCCTGAAATAGTGCAGCTCTGGGCCGTGGGTGGCAGTGGGGAGGAGGTCGGGCTGAGGCCGGCCGCTGTGCTAGGCGTGTGGCCGGACGGCTCCGATGGGACCGACATCAACTCCCTGTGCCGCTCCCACAACGAGCGCGTGGTGGCGGTGGCCGACGACTTCTGCAAAGTGCATCTCTTCCAGTACCCGTGCGCTCGCGCCAAGGTGAGGCCGCGGGGGGCCTCGGGGGCGGGGTGGGGCGGGACAGGACGGGTGGGCCCGAGGGCTCAGCCGCCACCGAAACTCCCTTCCCTCCTGCCCAGGCGCCAAGCCGCATGTACGGTGGCCACGGCAGCCACGTGACCAGCGTCCGGTTCACGCACGACGACTCGCACCTCGTCTCGCTGGGCGGCAAGGACGCCAGCATCTTCCAGTGGCGAATGCTGGGCGCCGGGGGCGCGGGGCCAGCGCCCGCCACGCCCTCTCGAACCCCCTCCCTGTCCCCCGCCTCCTCGCTCGACGTTTGATCGCTGCCTGGCGGACCAACTGGCTGGAGGTGTGGATCTGCCCCGCCCTGCCCCGCCCTGCCCCGCCCTAGTCCCCATAGAGCAGGGGCCGACTCCTCGACTGACTTTGAGACATTCCCGATCGCGCATTTCCCTGGAGGGCGCGAACGGCGCCTCTGCACACACTGTTTAGACCCGCTGGCTGAGCTGGGCAGCCCCAGCCTAGGCCTTGACTCCCGCTGCCTGCTGAGGGGTAATAAACCAGAACCAAAGTCGCCTCCCGGTGCTTTTGTGGGGCGCAGCTGGGCGCCTCCGGGGCCTTGTGGGGTGGGGACGAAGGAAAAGAGGCATGCGGAAAGGGTTAGGGAGCGTAGACCATTTATGCAAATAACAGGGAAAGCCGCTTGCAAATAACCTGGCGAAGCGCGAAGGCGCGCGAGTCTTTCGGGGCGGCAGGAGAACCTGCAGGGCCCCAGCGAGGACACAGTTAAGTCCGACTTCTCTCCCGCCCTCGGAAAAGGGGGTGGGGCCGAGCTGCGACGGAAATAGCCGAGTGCCGGGCCGCGGTTGGCCGACAGGAGTCGAACTTCTTCCGGAAGTAGCCGATCTGCGGGGTCTCGCTCTACGACCTGAGCCGAACGGTGGGCCTTGTTCTCCGATCGGCCGAAGGTGTTCCGGAAGGAGGCGAACCCCGAGGCGGGCCGGGCAAGCCTTTCCTACGGCCGGCAGATCCCAACGACTAGTGGGACTCGGCGGGGCGGGGGTAGCTGGAGCTTGGCTTTGGCCTGGCAGGAGCCGAGCTTGTTCCGGAAGAAGCCGAGCGGACCGGGGCCGGCCTCAGCGTCCCGGGAGTGGGGCGATAGCTACAGCGGCAACAGCGCGGGCCGGGATGAACCGCGACGGCTGAGGCAGTGGAGGTGCCGGCTGCGCGGACCCCATTGAGACTCCCTTGAAGCTCCAGCCCCACGCTCGGGGCTTTGCCTCGAGCCGAGCCCTGCCCCCGCGAGCCTTCCGGACCCCTTTGTGCGGCCGGAGGCGGCGGCGGGAACGGCCATGGCGGCCAACATGTACCGGGTGGGGGGTGAGTACCGGGCGCAGGGGTGCGGGGCCCCGGGTGGGAGAGGTTGGGGTCGGTCGGAACCGGAGGGGCTCTGCACCGGGTGGCGCGGGGCGTCGCGTCTGGGGCAGCGTGGACCCGAGCGCGGACCGGAACCGGAACCGGGAGACTGGGAGCGGGGAAGCGAGGGTGCGGGGACGGCGGCGGCGACGCGGCAGGGTGCCGAGACTCCCGGAGAGAAGCTGCGAGCAGCCCCGACGGCACTCTGAGGGCTGCGTCGGGGGCTCCCTAGGGCACAGAGTGGGCTTCGGAAACTGGTTCCGAAGGAGCTGACCTGGTAGGGAGGGGATGCGAGGGGCTGGGGCGACTGCTTTGCCGTCGCGGGGGAGCCGCCCGGAGGTTTCCTCTTCCCAGGCGTTATTGTGCGCCTCGGTTCGAAAAGGTGGGGGCCCAGCGCTAGCGCGAACAATGACTTCGCTGCGACTGGGCTGCAACTCATAGCTGAGTTGTGGGGACTGCAGGGGAACCCCTGCTTCTTGCCTGTTCCTTCAGGCTCACTTTTCAGTGAAGGATCTGATTTTAGAACTAGGTGCGGTGGGGGTGGGGAACATCCTTATTTTCTCTTAGTCTTTCCACTCTCACATCTCAGCGCCCTCTCTACCTGGATCTTTATCTCCTTTTGGTCCACTCAGGCCAACTTTCTCTCCTACTCTAGTGCTCTGTGTCTCCCGTGTCTTCCTCTGATCTTCGTGGTTCTTCCCCCTCCCCTCCCTTACAGATTACGTCTATTTTGAGAACTCCTCCAGCAATCCTTACCTGGTTAGACGGATTGAGGAGCTCAACAAGGTGAGTGGAGCAGAATCCCTTTCCCTCCCTTCCCCAGTGGTCTCTTTCTTCTGAGGTTTCTAACTTCTGGTGGAAGAGAGGACTCTATACTAAGTATCCATTCATATTCATTCATTCATTGGATGTATTCAGGAAAGGCTATTGAGAGCTTAGTAGGAACTTCACTATTCTGTCTTTTGGGGGCAAAGGAAAGGGATTTGGAAGTCTGTCCTTGAATGTAAGCCTTTACTTCTATTTTCTTGGGATTTTTTATTTAGGTCCCTCTGAAACTTACTGTTATTTGTCTCTTTGTGCATTTCTGTACCCAGATGATCAAATTTTCACTGCTACATTTTTTTTTCTCTCTTAGACTGCCAATGGAAATGTGGAGGCAAAGGTTGTCTGTCTTTTCCGGCGCAGGGACATTTCTAGTAGCCTCAACAGCCTGGCTGATAGTAATGCCAGTGAGTATCTTCATCCTTTCTTTTCCCCCTCCCCATGATCTGAGGCCTGGGCATGTCCCTGCAGGAGTTTCTCCTGGTAGCATGCCCAAGGCAGAGGTGTGAGTTTAGGGGCGGGAAATGCCTGGTCTGAGGAGGGAGGCCTGTTTTTACACGTTGGGGTTGGAAGCAGGGTGGAGAGATTGTGATAAGGAAAGCTATAATATGGTTTGTGTATGAGTGTAAGAGAGAGATGATAATGTTTATTTAGGGGATGAGGATGAACTTTAGAGAAGCAGAATGCTTTTCTAAAGGCGGAAAGGTGGACAATTTGGGGTACATTGAAACAGTACGTGGTGACTGAAGGTCAAGGTGAAGAGGAAGAGATTGTACTGAGAGGCCCACATAACAGGGAAGTAGGCTTATTTTGTAATCACAAGGTGGTGGGAATACCTGGAAGCTGGAAGATGGTAGGAAAGTTTTCTTACACTTTTCATTTCTTACCTCACCCATTTCCTGGCCCCCACTCCATTTTACGTCTTTCCTTTTTCGTTTTGCCCTGTCTTCATTCTCTTTAAGCTCTCATCTTCTTTTTCTTTTTCTTTTTTTTTTTTTTTTCTCCTTCCTTTTGTTCCACCTTTCCAAATTTTTCTTTTTCAGACTGTTCTGGGTGAGAAGGGGTTAAGGAGGATCCCGGCTTACCAAGTTCCTTGGCCCTTTAGGGTTTCCAGCCCCATCTGGCAGGGGCTGACCTTGGCCTTGTCCAATCAGAATGTGTGTTGGGGGTGTGGTCCCCCTTGCCTTAGCACAGGGTTTCCGGAGCACACAGGCTAGGGGTGGAGCCTACTGCACAACCTCCCCCTTCTCCCTGAGGTTGGGAACAATGCACCAATGAGCCTGGGCCTGAGGCTCTTCTGTCCCCTCCCACTTTGGTTGGCACCTAGCCAGGTTAACCCCTTCCACAAGGTTTCAGGGCAAGCTGCAGCTCCTTGGGGAGGAAGGTGTTGGCACTAGCTTGAGAGGTGTTGTCCTTGAAAACCCCAGGAACTATTATTAGCCAACTAGAAAATGAGGGATAGTTAGGGCCATGTGTGATGTTTTAGAGCAGAATCTCCTGAAATTGAACTGTAAACAGCCTTGTGCGATACTTTTTCATTTTCCTGGGTTATTGGATCTCAGGCTGGTTTAGCAATAAAGAGACAAGTGTGATGTTCTTGCTGGCCTGTTGTGGACTTGAGTGGTGTCTGAGCATTGGCAGCTGGTAGGGATGTATTTCTACAGCATTCTTCATACTTTCAGCAGTCATTCCCTAAGAGCATTACTGATAGAGTTGGGAGCATCTATGATGAGGCTTAGGGCTAAGAAAGAAAGCTGGGGCCGGGCGCGGTGTCTCACGCCTGTAATCCCAGCACTTTGGGAGGCCAAGGCAGGCAGATCACAAGGTCAGGAGTTCGAGACCAGCCTGACCAACATGGTGAAACCTCATCTCTACTAAAAATATAAAAATTATCTGGGTGTGGTGGCGGGCACCTGTAATTCCAGCTACTCGGGAAGCTGAAGCAGGAGAATTGTTTGAACCTGGGAGGCAGAGGGTGCAGTGAACCAAGATTGTGCCATTGCACTCCAGCTTGGGCAACAGGGCGAGACTCCACCTCAAAAAAAAAAAAAAAAAAAAAGGGGAAAACCCAAAAAAAAAAAAAAAAAAAAAAAAAGAAAGAAAGCTGGTAGGATAAGGGTATAGAAGGCGACTCCTGGGAAATGTGCGAAAAAACAGCTGTGATAGGAAATATTTTTCTTCAGTTAGAGTTTCCAGGGTGGTGTCTTGCTGGATTTGTTTCTGATTTTGTTTCTTCCTCCTTAATCTCCCAGGGGAGTTTGAAGAGGAATCAAAGCAGCCAGGTGTGTCTGAGCAGCAGCGCCATCAACTGAAGCACCGGGAACTTTTCCTTTCTCGGCAATTTGAATCATTACCAGCCACCCACATACGGTATAGGACAACTGGGGCCAGTATAGCCTGCATGCACTTATGCAGAAGGTAGAGAGAAGGAGGTGGTGTTCAGAGATGCTGTGGGGAGGGAGAGTGGGGCTCACCAGGGTTTTTCGATCTATCTTCTATAGGGGGAAATGCAGTGTGACCCTCTTGAATGAGACAGATATCTTGAGCCAGTATCTGGAAAAGGAGGTGAGAAAGAGATGTTGGGAGAAGAGGGATGGGAATGGGTATTGCCCCCAAAAGGGAGGGGGAAAGGAGAATAATGATGAGGTACAGGGTTGCCAGACTGCCTATATTGGGAACTCAGATATACCTCCCTCCCTGCCGCCTCTGTGGATTTCTGCCCTGCTTACCTTGTCTCTCCCCAACTCCAGGACTGCTTTTTTTACTCACTGGTGTTTGACCCTGTGCAGAAGACACTTCTAGCTGATCAGGGCGAGATCAGAGTTGGTTGCAAATACCAAGCTGAGATCCCAGATCGCCTGGCAGAGGGTAAGCAACAGGACAGACTGTATGGCTACCAGGTTAGCTAATTCCAAGGGGCACTTTAATATTATAGTCTCTGTCAGTGGCGTCACCTGGGGTGGTGCATTGCACAGTCCGCAGGGCTCTCTGCCGTGACCCTGACAGGATGGGACCTTAGGAACCTGAAAAGGGCAAATGGGCACACTTGGGAATTTGGGGAGCTGGTAGAATCCAAGCAGACGAAGAGGAAGGAGGAAGTGTTATTGTGCGTAAAAAGACACCAACTATTTCCCCTTGCCCTCTCCCTGTTGATGCCATTGTTCTGTTCCCCAGGAGAATCTGATAATCGGAACCAACAGAAGATGGAGATGAAGGTCTGGGACCCAGACAACCCTCTCACAGACCGGCAGATCGACCAGTTTCTCGTGGTGGCCCGGTGAGGGGTGGGTGGATGGGGAAGATGGGCTGAGGGAGGTGTGGACCTTGTTCTGAGTCCC